CTTTGCATTTTGAATCTTTCTTACTGATGATATTGTTTGGTCATTCTAGTAATCTAGATCTGTAAGCAAATCTAGAACCAAAACCCGGCAGCGCAGCCCATGTAACAGATAGCGTTGTCAGGAAACGACTATACGCTCTTGAACTACTTTGTGGATGTTGGTTTTCAGGGGCAAAACTACGGATGTCAACAGGACCACAGAAAGATTGAAAAAAAAGAACTCTAACCTGTAGAGTGTTTATAGGATTTTAGGGGACATGACCTGGGGCAGCTATGAAACTTAACAGGTGCCCCCTGGAACTAGCTAAACAACCACAGCTAGTTTGAAAAATAACTTTTCAAAAAGTTTTATCTGTCAAATGTTTACCAGAATTGTGGACGAACGGGGGGATTTACAGAAGGATAGGGGTGACTACAATACACCCCCATATTCAATAAGGGCATAAGAAGATTCTCCACGTACCATGTTAATACCTCATTCCCCAGAAAGCCAGGATTAAAGATAATTTTATCTAACGACATTTCTCTGTGTTTTATTATTCATAGCCAACAGCCAAACAGCCAATTGGAACTCACCCTGTCCGATTTATGACTAACAACAATTTAAATAGATACGAATTCCGATTTCAAGGAGATATAAAGGCAAACTTCCATATATGATAATTTGTACATAATTACAGCGAACACATGACTAATCTTTATACATTTCAATAAAGACCCGTCACTTAAAACGAGTAACACGTGATTACAGTATGGTTCTTGTACACAACAACACGATAAGAAAAGAAAATATTGATGGTATGCAAGGTCAAACGATCCACACAACTGCTAATAATTCTAGAAAATTCCCAATAACTTAAACACAAATCCGGTTTATCGTGCACAATGCAGGATATACATGGTCTTTCAAGAATAACTGATATCACCTCTCATTTGATGAGTTGGCAGGGTTAATAAAATTTGATGAGTTGGCAGGGTTAATAAAATTTGATGAGTTGGCAGGGTTAATAAAATTTGATGAGTTGGCAGGGTTAATATACACATTTAAATCGGCTTTCTTTCAATTATGTCATTTATAGTTTCGTTTATCTCATTACCAATGGATTAAGACTTGTTGTTGTTGTTGTTTACATTTCACTTGGTTGACTACGGGCATCTGTAGATGGACCATACAAATCAAATAACTAATAACGTGTCGGGTAGTAACCTACATAATAGGTTTCAATTTCTACGTGGTTTCCCCTTGTCAGTGGTGCAGAACGGAGGGCCTGACAAGAACAGCTGTCTAGTCCTTCGGATGAGACGAACAACCGAGGTCCCGTGTATACATTGGAATGCACGTAAAAGATTCCTTGGCAGTTGGAATTCGATATAAGAGTAGGCGATAGTGCCGCTGCCCGGGCAAAATTTCCCTCGTCGCACACTGTATGGCGTATGTCCGTCTTCATTAGCCCAGTACAGGAGCAGAACAGTAGGACGTTAAACCCCATTTCATTTCATTTCATTTCAATTTCTATAAGTTAGCTACACGATATAAATGGTGAAGATATTTATAGTAGCATTAGTCATTATTTACCAATCATACAGTTTAAACCACGCCTTATTTTTGATTATTAAATGAAAGTTTGGGCATATTTGTAGATGTGACAGTAACACGCATATAAATAACGGTAAACCACGAAGTGAGCGTCAGAAACAATCCAGACAGCCGACGTTAAACATCTACCAATCTAGATTTGAGGTTTTCTTCAACAAGAACAATTAAACACAGTCAGGTAGATATGATATTATTCTATATATTTATTATATTTTTGTATATAGTAGGTAATATTTCATAATAACTGTTAATATTTTATATCTTCATAATAAATCTATAACTCTGTTAATATTTAATATTTTTATAAAGTAGGAAATATTTCATAATAAGTCTATTAATATTTGATATTTTTATGTAGTAGAAACTCTTTAATAACTCTATTAATATTTCATATTTTTATATAGTAGAAACTCCCTGGATATTAAATTTCTATTAACTCTATTAATATTTGATATTTTTATATAGTAGAAACTCCTTGGATATTAAATTTCTAATAACTATATTAATATATAATATTTTTAAAATAATTCTTTTAATAATTGATATATTGATACAGTAGGAACTCTATAAGATAACTCCATTAATAATTGATATGTTTATATAGTATATTAGAAACTCTATAAATATTAAATAATAGCTCTTTTATAATATCGCTTAAAATAACTCCATTTATATTATATCATTATATAATATGAACTTCCTTTATAATAAAGTCTAAGAGACTATAAATAGCCATTGCACGTGCAATTCTCTACACATCTATCAATATTACAGCCGTAAAAAATCTATTGTTGACGATTTTGAATAGCAGTAAAATCTAGCTTTTTGGTTATTACAGCAGCTTTGGAAATTGCGTTCATTTTACTTTTTAAATTGCGTTATCATTAACTGTACAAATAATATCTCTAAAACACTTTCGTTAGGCAAGAACATGATACTAGCAGTTTTCAACATGGGCGTGTCCAGGAATTTGAGCAGATGGGTGTAGTGGGGGGGGGGGCGTCAAGGTTATCATGAGGTTTAAGGAAGCTCTGAGACAATATTAAACATTTTGTGTATTAGACCATAGAACATGATACTAGCAGTTTTCAACATGGGCGTGTCCAGGAATTTGAGCTGATGGGTGTAGTGGGGGGGGGGGCGTCAAGGTTATCATGAGATTTAAGGAAGCTCTGAGACAATATTAAACATTTTGTGTATTAGACCATAGTTAAATAAAATAGAAATATTCAACATTTTGTATATAGTCCACATACTATAAGGCTTAACTTCAAGTAAACCTTTGAATACAAACCTAGGTCTCCATCCTCCTAATGCCAGAACATACAAGTCAGTGAACGAATTGAAATCTAATTTTAATTACATTTTCTTGTTTTTAAGATAAAAGACCAGGTGAAGTAAGATACCTATCTAGCCCAGTAAAGAAATAGTAAAAATCTGTTATCAAGATGGCAATGTATCAAGGTAAGTGGAATCATATGATTTTAATACTCTATCTACTTTACTCTCAGATTCCTTATAATGCCCCTCAGTGGACCAAAAGTCTTATGTCATAACCCTTGTTCTTTAATTGTCCAAATTTCGAGTACGTCCCCTGAATCACTTGTTGGATTTAAACCAAATTGGTACTTATGTTTATTGGGTGATTGTTTTAAATCAAATTGGTCAGCCCAATTAATTTGAAACATGACTTACACACAAACTTAATATTTATTTGATCCACAGCTAGTTTCATAATAGATTGTTTACTTATGGTGTATTAATCCCTATCAATTTACCCCCACCCCCACCCCCCACCCCCGTTGGTTTGGACTTGATTTCTTCCTTTATGGATTGTCTCCCTTGCCACTGTTTACAAAGACAAAATACACAAGCATATTTGAGATTATCGAGAACAGAATAAAGCTGTGTAATAAATTATTTCAGTAAAACAAAAAGGTCAGATGCCAGAAGACGACTATGTGAGAGTGCAAGCCAATTACTGCTACCTGGTGGATCATATCAAACAACCAGTAAAACTTGGTAATAAATTATTTGAAAAAAACGTATTCGACGCAGATGAAAGGGACGAAATAAATAAAATTTACAATACCGTTGAAAAAGGTCGCTGGGAAGCTGCTAACAAGCTAGTGACGTATGTCTTAAACTGTGGCGATGCCTATGGTAAATTCATCCAATGTTTACGAGAACTAGGTTACAAGAAAATCGTAAATGTATTAGAAAACACCACGAATGGTAAGTTTATTTCTATTTTAAACAAGAACAACACACCATATATATATAAACATTGACAACTTATAAAAACATAAAAATACAAACGTACGGTTCTTTTCGTATTTGTTTAAATGAATCTGATTTTTGCGAGAAATCATAGAACATCATAGAAAATATAAATGATGGATCTACAATAGGATTTCTTATTTTTACTAAATTAGGCCCTTTGCGCCCTTTCTAACATGGCAATATACTGTATGTGATTATAGCAAAATAAGAAAGATTGATACTATGAACGATACAATAATTATCTTACTATAACTGGATTATCTCCCTTATTATTGTTGGCGCTATTTACATGCAAACTTATGACGTCAATTGGCAGACGATCACCTTTGTGTAAAGTCATTTAGCAGACGACGGCCGTCAAGACTGGTTGCTTATGTTCGATGGCTTCGCCTTCCATGTATTTTAATTCAGTACTATTTCTGGCTCAATATGCTGACATTGAGATTTTATGTAGCACATGGCCGATCATGACTGACACCAGTGTGTTACAACGTTCCGGAAATATTCCCACTTTTTTCTTCGATTTTTTTATTCTTTGATTTCATTTCGACTGAAGCCTATATAATCACTATAGCCAGTATAGGCCCTGTTCTGTAGGCCTACGGCGTAGTGGACGCTTATAGCTAGCACCCGGATCCATTCAGATTTTTTTTATTTGAGATGTCTATGTATATTGGAGCCACGGTGGCTCAGTGAGTAAGACATTGGCTCGTAAACCTGGAGGTCCCATGTTTGATCCCTTTCCGGCATGATACAGTGATGTATCGACGGAGGGCATGGGCCTTGACCCCCTGGTAAGGTGAAGTCGTTTGGATGGAACGAAAAATCGAGGCCGCCAGTACACATTGGCCTGAAGATAAAAGATCTCCTAGCAGTTGGAATTCGATATAAGTGTAGGTCGTAACTCCGCTGTCCTGGGAACATTTCCCGCATAGCGCAATGTATGGCGTATGTCCATCTCCATTAGCCCGGTCGGAACAGAGCAGTAGGACGTTAAACCCCATTTCATTTCATTTGTCTATGTATATTGTGCCCTGTCCGTGGGTTTGTCTTGTGTAATTGTGTATTATATTATATCATACTGGTAATAGTATTGAAATGGAAATAATTTTATCATACAGGTAAAAATAAAACCAATCTGATGACAGAACAAGACACGACAAGACATCAGCTAGAAGACTTACATAAAGATCGCGACCTTGCAAAACAGGAATTAGAGAACCTGAAGAAACAGATGGAAACACAAGATGGGGATTCCAAACAGATGTTGAAGAAAATCGAAAAACTTGAAACATACAAAAAACAAACTGAAGAGAAAGAAGCTCTGACAAAGAAGAGAATTGATGAGTTGGAGACATGTATTAAAACTCTTACCTTAAATGAGGAAGGTAGGTTGATATTATTACGTCATACACACATCGTCACAAATTATTACGTCATATACCCATCGTCATTGAAGTCAGAAGACGTATAATAAACTTTATAGTTATTTTAGTTAGATGAAAAATATTAAATATGATTTATATATTACAGATACCATTCAACCACAATTATTACCTGGTACTTTGTCTGGTAATACAAGTGATACCTCAGATAAGAAAGGTAAGTTATTCTAATATATAATATAATATCCAACGGCTGACTTACCTGAAGGGGATCACGTGGCTAAGTGGGTAAGACGATGGCTCGCTAGCCTGGAGGTCGGGTGTTCGAACCCTGCATTGGCGGAGAAAGTTCATCCAGATTTTCCGGCGTGGTTCCCCCTTGTCAGTGATGCAGGACGGAGGGCCTGACAGGGACAGCTGTTTAGTCCTTCGGATGAAACGAAAAACCGAGGTCCCGTGTATACATTGGAATGCACGTAAAAGATCCCTTGGCAGTTGGAATTCGATATAAGAGTAGGCGATAGTGCCGCTGCCCGGGCAAAATTTCCCTCATAGCACACTGTATGACGTATGCCCTTCTACATTATCCCGATCGGAGCAGAACAGTAGGACGTTAAACCCCATTTCATTTCATTTCTGACTTACCTGAAACAATATTAAATATGACTTGATAAACTGTAAATATAGTATAACATGTTATATATTACAGATACACGTCAACAACAACAACAACAATTATTTGATGCCTGTCTACATGGTACTTTGCATGATATAAAAAACATGGTGAACATAGATGTTAACGTCAGAGACAAGTTGGACCAGACACCGTTATTTAAATGTTGTAGATCAAGTGTAAGTCCTGTAGATAAAATAAAATATCTAGTCAGTCATCAGGCTGATATTAACGCTAGAGACAGTCATAATAATACCATCTTACACAGGGCATGTTGGCGTGGTACTTTATCTACAGTACAATATCTTGTTGATGATTTACACATGAATGTTAATACAACAGGTAAATACAACCGGACACCGTTATTTTACTGTTGTTCATCACGTGTAAGTCCTGTAGATAAAATAAAATATCTAGTCAGTCATGAGGCTGATATTAACGCTAGAGACAGTTATAATAATACCATCTTACACTGGGCATGTAGGTTTGGTACTTTATCTACAGTACAATATCTTGTTGATGATTTACACATGGATGTTAATACAACAGGTTATAACAACCGTACACCGTTATTTGACTGTTGTGGATCAAGTGTAAGTACTGTAGATAAAATAAAATATCTAGTCAGTCATCAGGCTGATATTAACGTTAGAGACAGTGGTAATGATACCATCTTACACAGGGCATGTTGGTTTGGTACTTTATCTACAGTACAATATCTTGTTGATGATTTACACATGAATGTTAATACAACAGGTTATAAAAACCAGACACCGTTATTTTACTGTTGTAGATCAAGTGTAAGTACTGTAGATAAAATAAAATATCTAGTCAGTCATGAGGCTGATATTAACGTTAGAGACAGTGGTAATGATACCATCTTACACGAGGCATGTTGGTGGGGTACTTTATCTACAGTACAATATCTAGTTGATTGTTTACATCTAGATCTACATGTCAAGAATAAAGATGGTGAAACAGTTCTAGATTATTGTAGGTGGTCAGACATTGAGCAAGATGAAAAAATAAAATATATTAAAGCTAAATCAACTAAACCTATACTATCCCGTCTCAAGTCTTTCTTTAGACGTTAAATATATCACAGATCAAATGAAATTAAAATAAAATAAACAAGTTATAATAATTCATGTAAACTAGTCAACATAATGTTATTGTCTCTAGTCATACAATTTACAGTTTTATTGTCGCTTGTCAACAGTTAAAACTACTGATGACGTATTATACTGTCTGTAGTCAACAGTTAAAACTACTGATGACGTATTACACTGTCTCTTGTCAACAGTTAAAACTACTGATGACGTATTACACTGTCTCTAGTCAACTACTGATGACGTATTATACTGTCTGTAGTCAACAGTTAAAACTACTGATGACGTATTAAATTGTCTCTAGTCAACAGTTAAAACTACTGATGACGTATTATACTGTCTGTAGTCAACAGTTAAAACTACTGATGACGTATTTGTATTTTATCTACAGGACTAATACTGTGTATATATTTATTGTTTATTTTATTGTTTAATTTATTTAAAATGTCTTAAAAATTTTATTGTATATATTTATTTTCAATGAATAATACTGTTTACAAAAACTCGTGTTTATTTTTATACGTTCAATCGTGTCTTTGCGCTTGTGTCTATGTTTGGCCCACAGACTTCAATTCTTTGGTGCATGCCCAAGCCTCAGGGACAGAGCCATGCCCAATGTCCTTTATTTTGGTGCATGTCCAACCCCCAGGGGTGGTGAAATGAAATGAAATGGGGTTTAACGCCCTATAGGTCTGCCCCGACTGGTCTAATGAAGACGGACATTCACAATACAATGTGCTATGACCAGTGCCGGACTGGGCCCGACTGTCCACCTGTCCGTGACAGGTGGGCCTAAGCTCATTTAAAAAACGTGGGCCTAAGCCTATAAAGAAAAAAGAGAAAGAAAGGAGAGGGGGGGGAGAAAAGAAATCTGTTATCTAATTGTATCAGGAAATCAAAAATTTGCCATTTTCTGCTTTGGTGTGAAATGCTTGAAAAATGGGTTTGTGGCTGTCAATTTTCAAAATTTTGCTGGGGGGACCCCCCCCCCCCAACAAAACCCTCGGACGTTCGTGCGACTTCGGCGCTTACTTAGGTGGGCCTTGGTGAATGACCTGACAGGTGGGCCTTTGATCCGGCACTGGCTATGACTGATATTTTGCCAGAACAGCGGCGCTACGACCTACTCTTATTTCGAATTCCAACTGCCAAGGGATCTTTTACGTGCACGCCAATGTGTATAAGGGACCTCGGTTTTTCGTCAAATCCGAAGGACTAGGCAAATTTTCTCGGGCAACACCGGGAGCCAACCCGTGACCTCTCGGCTAGCGAGCCAGCGTCTTACTCACTAATCCACCGTGCCCCCCCCCCCCCCCCGAAAAAAGGGGCGGTGCCACACCCACTTTTTTTTGTAAACATTTTATCTGTAAATTGTCTACTGGTCGCACTTATTAACAGATTTTGTTTAAATTCGGCGTGACCAATCATTTCAATAACAGCTTTTCACTTATTTATATTTATCCGTGTCTCATGCCCCCCTCCACCCCCACGCCCAAGAAAGGCAGAGCCATCCCCAATTTTGGTGTTTACCGTCTACAGGCCGCAATTCTGAATTTGTCATCTGATTGCCCCGATCCCCAGAAGCGGGGTCACTCCTTTTTTATTTCTGCTAATATTTTCTCTGTAAATTTGGTAAAACAAACCTTCTTTGTCTCTTGTTATATTGAGAACTAGATGAAGTCCATTTATACCCAGCCTTCTCAGCAAATCCTGAGATTTCCTACCATTTTATTAATCTCTTTCACCCACCAAAATTGATTGCCAAGGCAGCGGCTTTATATGTGAAATTTGGTGGTAACTACTTGTAGGTGAAACTCTGTTGATATACATGTACTACTGTTTGTATGAATATATTTTCACCGTACAGTTATCAAGATTTGTGAGACTTAATTGATCAATCCTGAATGAATTGTTGTTCCTTCCTCATTTCCAAACAATATTTAGCGCGTGTGCGTTCTATCATAAGGTCTGTAATCGAGTCAACTGGCTTGGTTTCGATTCCCCAGTTGTATGTGGCAAGGAGAAGGGTCGCTTGTCCAACATCGTGGGTTTTCTCCGGGTCCTCCGGTTTCCTTCCACTGCTAAATACCCCTACGTGCAAGCGAATTATTGAGATAAAATTAAACCGTGTGTCAGTCCGAAATGACCTAGTTTGTGTCGAGTGGACGTTAGACCCCATTGTTCTCTGTCCCCCCCCCCTCTCTCTCTCTCTCTCTCCAATATATTTGGAAACTTGAATCTTTGTGAAATTCAAGCATAATACATGTCTCTAAAAGATTGGGAAACTGCGGTGGCTCAGTGGGTAAGGCACTGACTCGCTAATCAGGGAGTACATGATTCGATCCCGGTGTTAACCAAGAAAGTTCTCATGTATTTTCCAGCGTCGCAAGATGGAGGGTATGGTAAGGACAGGGTCTAGTCTTTCGGATCGGGTGGGACGAACAACCGAGGTCCCTGTATACGTAGGCGTGTACGTAAAAGAACCCTTGACAGTTGGAATTTGGAAGAAGAGCCGATCGCCAAATTTGGTCGAGAAAGTTCTCAGAGATTTTCCAGTGTTGTTTCCCTTTATTAGTGATGCAGGACGGGGGGCATGGCAAGGGTGGCGTCTAATATACCGGATAGTATGAACAACCGAGGTACAGTGTACACGTTGACGTGCACGTAAAAGACCCCTTGACAATTAGAATTATAAAGAGTAGTACGCCATAGGCAGCTGTCCTGGCAAATTTTCCAGCTTTGTTTCCCCCTTGTTAGTGTCTCAGCGCCACATTTAGGGCAACATTCCTTCATATCGCACTCTATCACCTATGTCCGTCTTTAATAGCATCTTGGGGGCAGCAAAGTAGGACGTTAAACCCCGTTTAATTTTATTTTATTTCTCTAAAATATCTCTCATCTAACTTTACGAATAGAATCAATTCTTTGTATCTGTGATAGTTTACCCTACGTACAGGGGCGTACATAACGATTTTTTGTGTGGAGGGGGGGTAGCCAAAATGCGACCGACTGATGCACATGCCCCTAGTACGATTGACGCAGTCAGGAGTCGAGCCCCACAGGTGCGAGTTTTCTAGCTAGGGGCCATGACCAGTAGCGGATATAGAAGCTGTGAATAGGGGGTGGGGGTGGGGGTGGTTCCAAATCTAAGGCGCCATCCATAATCACACCCCACAAAGAATGTCAAGAAAATACTGGCTATAACATTCAGCGTCCCGGTAGAACATAGATAGTATTGTATAATTATATAGTTGTTCGCCGATCGTGGTCTATACTAGCCGGGCAGTTCACTATAACCGTGATTATG